GAATCACTTTAAAAGATTTTTTTTATGAGAGAGAAATCTTCATTTGAAATCTGCAATTCCACATGTGTTCCTTATTTGCACTGCTTTGAAAATTCTACCCAAAAAAATATCAAACGAACTCCAAAAATTCTGAAATTTTGTATTCTTATTCTACAAAAAAAAAAAAATCATATAAAAAAAAAGCTTCATAAGCTTTTTTTATGAGAGAGAAATCTTCATTTGAAATATGCCTTTCCAGATTTGCTCCTTTTTTACATTGCTTCGAAAATTTTACCCAAAAAATATCAAACAAACTCCAAAAATTCTGAAATTTTGTAAGCTTATTCTACACAAGAAAATAATCAGATTTAAAAAAATCGCATCAAAATCTTTCTTTATGAGAGAGAAATATTCATTTGAAATCTGTCTTCATTTAAAAATTTTCTTTATTTTCCTCTCTCTTCAATAGCTAAATTAAAATGAAACCAGATTTTCCATTTTCTCTCTCTTCAATGGCTGAATGTAGGCTATTAAAATTAAATTTGTACCTTCTTGCTGTGTCTCTTGGTTTTCCAATACAGAAGACCGTGTTTCAAGAGAATATAATAATAAAAAAATAAAGCATATTCAATGTAGGCAATAATGACTTATTGTGTGTTCCAAGAGAAAATAAAGACCCCACCTTTACCAACTCAGCTATCCGAAAATCAATCTCAGCCATCTATAATATCAAAACGGATGGTGTAATATGGGTTCACACCCTTAGAATGGTTCTCACGTCTCTCTCTCTCTCTCTCTCTCTCTCTCTCTCTCTCTCTCTCTCTCTCTCTCTCTCTCTCTCTCTCTCTCTCTCTCTCTCTCTCTCTCTCTCTCTATATATATATATATATATATATATATATATATATATAATAAAGATCAATTTCCACCAAAATCAAGATACTTTGGTGGAAATGGTCCAAACATACATATTCGTCACAATTTATAGGGTCCTACCTCTCAACAAGTGAGCTAGAATATATGGAGTTGGGCTTAGTTTATTTACGAGTACTTCATATTAACTTTATAAATTTAGGTCTCTAGTCTGGATTTACCTGGACCGAACTTGATAGAGAAATCAAAATAAATGTTGTTTTATAGACCAGAGAATTGATCTAATTTTTATTTTTATTATTATTATTATTTTTTATTATTTTTTTTTTCACGAAACGCTAGATATATTATTAATCAATACAAATTGTCCATTAGTCTAAATCAATTGAGCTATTCTATTTTCAAGTTGGTTTGGATTATTAAAAAATAATTTTAATTTGAGAATATTAAAGAAAGCTGGGTAAAATAGAATTATTAGAACTATTTTTTCTATTAAATACTTCATTCATTATCCATTGGATGACCTATTTTTAAGCAAAATTTGAGAAAAGTGCAACGCGTTAATTTAGTAAACTAAAATTAATCCTAATATCCTACGAATTATATACATTAGTAAATTAGCAATAGTTTTTCTTGTGATGCAAGTTAATGAGTAAAACCTTAATCCTAAGTAGATAATCTAAGGATTAGTACAACACGTTAATTTAGGAAATTTTAATCCTAGTAAAACTTAAACTTCTTAGAAAGTTAAGCCTTAACCGAATAACCGACTAGATCATTAATCCTATAAATTCATACACTTCCCCTCTCAATTTTATTCACAACACAACCCAAAAAAAAGTACGTAGTAACAAGAAAATTATGGCTAGCATGAAACTAATATTCTTTGTTGTTCTTGCTCTTTGTTCTTCCCTTCCTCTTCGTCTCTATGCACTCCCTCAACAAATACCGAAAGTAGACGCGATCTATCAGTTTGGTGATTCGATATCCGATACCGGTAACCTAATACGTGAATCCCCCATTGGAGAACATACAACCTTTGCACGACTTCCTTATGGACAAACTTTCTTCCATAAGCCAACTGGTCGTTGCTCCAATGGTCTTCTTATGATCGATTTTCTTGGTATGTGTCACTTTGTTAGACATCCTAATCATCTTTATGTTAAATAGTTAATTTCATAATTAGATAGTCGTATGGATTATTATAACTAGTCAGCTTTATGTAACCCTAGTAATTAAATTATTTCTGTTGTATAAGTCAGTATGTTAATATATGTATGTAACCCTAGTAATTAAATTATTTCTGTTGTATAAGTCAGTATGTTAATATATGTATGTAACCCTAGTAATTAAATTATTTCTGTTGTATAAGTCAGTATGTTAATATATGTATGTAACCCTAGTAATTAAATTATTTCTGTTGTATAAGTCAGTATGTTAATATATGTATGTAACCCTAGTAATTAAATTATTTCTGTTGTATAAGTCAGTATGTTAATATATGTATGTAACCCTAGTAATTAAATTATTTCTGTTGTATAAGTCAGTATGTTAATATATGTATGTAACTAAATTTATTCTGTTGTATAACTTGCAGCCAAATACTTCAAGTTACCCTTTCTTGATGCGTATCTTAATGAAGCTGGCAACTTCGCTCATGGTGTGAACTTCGCTGTCGCGGGATCGACGGCTCTGGACTCTTCAACCTTAGCTGCCAAAAACATTACATCGCCGGTCACCCAAAGTTCACTATCTGTTCAACTGGGTTGGTTTAGATCTCACCTTCAATCACTCTGCCCTAACGACCCAAAAGGTTATTAATACTTCCCATCCCATTCTATAAAAATTTCTCTGTATATTTAAAATTGATTACATTATTATCTTTACTAATATAAAATAGATTATATCACGTAAAATATTATCTGATCGGACTTGTTTTAATGTAAATTCACTACTAGAAATAGGTCGATTTCCGTCGGAAAAATTAGAAATTCCGGTGGATTTTTATTCCGTCGGAAATTTCTGACGAATTTTGACAATCCGTCGGAATAAAAATCCATCGGAATTTTTAATTTTTCCAATAAATTTTAGCATTATATATTAAAGGATATTAACGATCAAGATTATAGTAACTTATTATTCTTATTCATAATATGCAGACTGTAAGTCTAAACTTGCAAATGCGTTGTTCATCATTGAAACCGGAGGGAACGACTTTAACTACGCCTTTTTGGGAAGAAAAACAATGGAAGAAGTGCAACAAATGGTGGATCAAGTTATTCAAGCCATTATTAGTGCTGCCAAGGTTTGTTTTTCTAACGTACTTCGTATCACTTACCCTTTTAAAATTGTTTATAAAATAATTATGGATTACTAATTACATACAATGGATTACATAATAATGCAGGATGTTATTAATCTTGGTGCCACTAAAGTTATAATTCCCGGCAACTTTGCAATAGGTTGTATGCCTATTTTATCTTAGCACTTTCAAGGCGAATGACTCAAATATGTATGACGAACTCCATTGTTTAAAGGGTTTAAATGGATTCGCAACGTTTCAAAATGATCGATTACAAGAAGCTATTACGGAGCTTCAAACACAGTATCCAAACGTTGCAATTGTGTATGCTGATTATTTCAATGCATTGAAGGGACTCCTTCAAAATGCAGCTTCACATGGTTAGTTTTTGTCAATTTTGTAATATTTAATTATCCTTTTGTTTAGAATAAGTACTAATACATACGCTTATCAATATATGCAGGGTTTGAAAAGGATCAAGTACAAAAGACATGTTGTGGGATTGGCGACAACGAATATAATTTTAACCTTACTCGAATGTGTGGAAATAATGGAGTTCCAGTTTGTCGCGATCCCTCTAAACTAGTGAGTTGGGATGGAGTTCACATGACTCAGAGTCATGGCCAAAGAGCTATTCAACCAAATTGTTCGAGGCATCTCCTCTCAAGTTTAATTTCTTTCATTAAATTTAAGTGTTTTATGTTGAAGCTATGTTTTTTCTGTATTATTTCTAGATACATTTAACTTTGATAAACTCCTTTTTCGATATTTAAGTATTTTTCTTATTCAAATTTATGTTAGTTATGAACCTGCTTAAACTAATAATATTAATACAGATTAAATTACATGTAATTCCTTTCAATGTTTTTTTATTCACAAATTGTAATGGTTACGTAGGCTCCCTAATCGTTAAAATAAATAATGAAAAAGGGTTTTCTATCTAGCTCTTTGGTAAATTGTTCATGTTGTTGGATATAACTCTAGAATTCTTATGGAAAATTAGTGATATTAATGTTCAAATTTGTATGCCTGCAAACATTATAGTCAAACTATTGTAGTTTTTTTTAGCAGAAGTACTTCTTATACACATTACGAAACGAGTCTCTAACGCTCGTAAAAAAATAAATAAATGAATTACCTCTTTTTCTCAATAAATTTATGGTAACAAAGTTAATAGTTGTAATTAGTTTTGTAAGGAGCACACTTTTTTTATGGGATTATGGAATATGTTTTATCACAAACTCTTAAACAAGGAGATTGGACAACAAATATGGTAAAGTGGGTGTAAAACTACTCTAAAAATGATCAAAAGTGAGCCCCGTATCAATAAAAGTCACCTACTATTCTTTTTAATTGACAAGGTTCATTATTCTCTTTGCAAGAAAATTATATTCCTAAGGTATTGTTATCTGATTTTTTAAACAATTTTATATTTTAGGTTATGTTCTAATATTAATTTTATTATAAAATTAAGACATATAATAGGAAGTGTATATGCATGTTCTTAAAAGCAGCTACAAATGTTAGCATTCTAATATAAATTGGTATAACCAAGTAAAGCTTGGTCTAGTGGTAAGGTTCAACATCTCACAACTTTTTGGGGTGGGAATTCCCTTACTCTTCCCCCCACTCTCAAAAGGCCTAGCCATCTAACCCGGGATGGGTTGACGTGTGAGAGATTCCAGTCTAGTAAGGCCCTTAACCATATATATATATAAAAAAAAATAAAAAAAAAAATAAAAAATGGTATGGAAAATGAATATAAGCTATGATGGGAATCAATATTCGGAAGTACTTGAATCTTCTATTTTAAGTGAAACCTACAAAGCAACAAATCCAAGTAGAATGCATCAAATACTGCGTTGTTTATGTACTTCATATCACCAGCACCAAATTTACATGTTTCATGCTTGCATCTCGCAGCAAAATAATCAAAAATTTGTGGCATTAGATGAGTGTTTTCATGTCATAATATTACAAAGAAGTCTGATTGAAACTGTTTGAGTGAATTTTGATCGAGTTTGTAGCTCCAGTCATCACAGAACACACCGATAAGTAACCAGGGAACTTGGTAGCCCAGCAGTGTAGCTAACTTTCATGACTTGCCCCTTCTCAAGTCCATGGTATCGTGCAAACGCACCATTCTCCTGCATTCGCGGCATCTGAAAATAAACATGTCACCAAGTTATACTACTTGGGGCATAGAACACAAGAATGATGGGGCATGCTTATTGTTTCACTAGTTACGATCAACAACAAAATTATTATTGTGCGTAAACAAAGTCCTGCATATGTGAAAGCCTGAGAAACACGAAATTCTCACAGGAGAAAATCATAAATTGTTCTCAAAGAAAATCACAAGTTAATAGTTATAAAATGTTATTTTCGCTCTGGCTTTTTGCTTATGAAGATGATAGCAGTAAATTCATATAGAAAGATTTTTATCAAGGTAATCAAATTATTCAAATTCCATAGTAACTGTGCAATCACACCTACAGCCATTAAATGGATCGACAAGGATCAAAGCTTTATGATTAGTGAATCAAGCTCTAAAAACTTCGTCTGTTGTAGATATGCATCTTCGAGTATTGTTGCAACAAATACTAGCAAGTGACAAGAAAAAGATATAACAACCCAGAACTTCTAATGCAACCTCAGCAGAACAGAAACACATCTAATGCAACCTAGAAATACAATTATGTTAAGATTCATGTTAAGAAGATCATAATGACGCCTATTGCAATACGAGGACAGATGGAACAGGACAAGTTTCAGGAAAAATAAACACCAGACAGTCATTCACCCCCTCCCTTCATCTCCATTAAAGGATCTTTCAAACATAAGTTTAAATTTTAAATCTACAGATCTGCTCCTTTAGGCATTGAGGACTGCACTATGACTATCAATGTATAACAAATGTGAAATAAATTAATGAGTATAGGGAAATCGTCGCACCAAAAACCAGCATTAGTAATGAAAATGTACAGCCAAAGAATAGACTCGTGGATTAGTTCAGTAAATACCAAACAGCCTAACTTTATACCTTCTAGCTCGTGTGTATAGACATGGAATTGCAAGTTCAAGTGCACCAGGATGGAAGTGCAATGCATCTTTCAAGGGAGGAATAACAATTTACCTGGTGTTCCTTCACCTGGTACTTCTGTAGCAGACGTTCCTTCTCCTGAGTAGTCAGCTTTTCATGTTTTGGTGTTAAGACATGTTTTGTGATGTTGACCAACAAGTCACTGATCTACAAGGAAAAGACAGTAGCGCAATGTTACATCTTGACACAAGCACCTCAATTAGGCCATTCGATGAACTACTGCAATGAAGCTGGCACCAAGCATACATCAAACCATCCAGATAAAAGCAAAATTGACGGTTCAACTGACTATATAGTATATTTATAGATTAACCCGGTAAAAGAAAACCTAAAATGTAATACTAAATAAAAACACAAGTAGATATTTAAAAGGAAAATGCATGCCACTTAGAGCTGGGATCAGCCTATACTTGATCAAGGTTCTTCCAAACCCCGAATCTAAGCAGCTTATACATAACTGAATAGCGAGATAAGCACAGAAGATAAGCTATCATGATAAGAATCCAACAGATAATCCATTCATGCTGATAATAGAGTACAATATCAGCTGCTTTGAAGAAACAGTATAGTACAAAATTTCTTCAACTTAGTGTTTACCTAGTGATGTTGTTGGATACAAAGATATAAAGCTTGGCACAGACATTCAAAAGAACATCCCCCCCACCCCCTCAGAGGAAAAAAAAAATCCCTCACAGACTCACAGTCATAAATATGAGATATTCCCAAAGAAGATAAGGTGGATTTTCCTGAAAGATTAGTGCATTTAACAGCCACGGATATATTTAACAGAACATGTACGAGAGATTAGGGGGGGTGGGAGTCTTTAAATAGGCTAAAACTATATTGCTTAAAAAGTTTGAGGCAGAGGCTTAATATTGCCTACAGTCATGACCTGAAAAATCTCTGTTTTGACTGGGTATTCATCCACAACTTTTCGAGCATGGTGATTCATTTTGCTTTGCAGGACTAATATAATCCGGTGCAAGCTCTCTTTGTCAATGATTTGGCTGAAAACTGTAAGGATGTTGCCTTTTTTAATTTCCTCGGTTCCACAAAAGATGACCAAAATCTGCAGGACAGGAAATTAGTGGTATTAGATATTATGAGACTTAAAAAAAAAAAACAGCTCAAAAATAAAGAAAATAATTTATTTCCATTCTCGAGTGCCTGAACTTGAAATTTTTATGTCAACCATATCTCCATATCAACTTGCCTTAGAGTTCCTAACAGTAAATAGGCTAACCTCTCTTCTACCAAAAGCATCTTAAGAATGCTCAAGAATAGTTTCACATGGATGCTATAAAGCTAGATGACAGAACAATAGGCTTACTCAGTTCCAGGCATCCTCGTTATTTCAGGAATCAGGATCCATTACAAAGGGAACGAACAAGCGAATAACATAAAAGCAGGGTCTCTTTATTCATTTGGGGGCTGACAATATACAATTAAACATTGCTGACCATGACTGACCAGAAAAAATGCTTAAGAAAGCACTACCTGTCCATATAATGCTACAGCAAAAGTTGATGACAAATGGTTCTGATTGCTAACTACGTCTCAAATGAGCTAAGTCATCAATAATACAATGGCTACAAAGTCTTTCTAGGTATACCAAACAAATTTAGTTTAAGCACAGTATACCAACTCTCGTGCTACCCTAATGATTTGGAGGAAAACGGGATGGACAGCATAAGCCCTTTCCAATAGCAGGGTACAAATTACCCAAGGACATAGCACAGACTAGCAAAGATAGGTTCTTAAGATATTCAGATAGAACCACTCTTCAGTGACCAGTGCCCCCTAGTATATAACCTCAAAGACCAAAACTAAATGTTAATGTCCATTTTTCAAACTCTTTTTTTTCATTTTTTTGTGCCATCAATACATGGAAAATAATATCAACAAAATGGGAAATGTATGCCTCTACAGGTTGAAATAGCACACAATGACCACGTGACATTAATAGTATGAGACACATGTTTAAGGGTCTTTGGTCTCAAACTCTAAATACAACACAGAATGGCTGCACAATGTGGTATTAAGCAGATGCCAACACATTCATTTGCACACTTTCACCTAATGGAAAAAATTCAAAAACACTCTTCTTTACCATGGAATCATGGATGTCTCATTTCAGGATTTTGCAAGCAGGAACTCATTGTTGCATGCTTGAAAATGTATATTCGCTACAAATGCATAACATAAATAACATAAAACCATAGAGTAGTACACAAATCAGCCAAGACATGTTAACAAAAAACATGATCTCAAAATATAAATTTAAGGGTACCTTAGAAGACGAGTTAACTTACACAAACCTTGACCACCCCATCTTTGCCAAGCTTTGGAACCTCGCCGCCCTCACAACCACTGCCTCGACCACACCACATTTCAAACAACCAAACATAACATACTCAAAAATCAAAAGCAAACTAGAACCTTACATCTACGCAGTTTCTCGTGCATTATCATACCAAAAAATAAATAATGAAAAAAAAATATGATTTATCCAACTTCAAAACACAGCCAACATCTCATTCAAAACCAAAAATCAGCAACTTTAGGGTTCCAAACGTAGCATACTCAATATTCAGAACCCAAAAGCATATTTTTATTTAACCAAATATCAAAAAACTGGTAAACGAGGAAGTAATACTAGCAATTTTGAATAATTCTTCTACAGAATTGTTTAAAAATAACAAGCACCCACAATCTCCCTACAACGTGGTACCCCAAAAATCACATTTTTGTATAATTTACTAATCCCAATATAATAATAAATCAATATTTAATCAAAATCTACCAATACCAACATAATTTCAGCCCCATAAAAATGATGGGATTATTGTAAAAACAGAGTATAACAATGAAAATACTGATTAGGGTACCTTAGAAGACGAGTCAACTCGGAGAGGAACACAAATGCGAAGGGAAAGAGGGTCAGGTTTCTGGCCAAACTCAGCACGAAACTCGGGGAGAGAGCGAGTCAACTCGGAGGTAGGAACAGCATAACCCCTGTCATTGAGAAGTTCGAAGAGGGTTTTACTTGCCAGATAATACCTGTGACTTTCGACGCTTCCATTGTCTACAAAGTGGGTTAAGCAGTTGCTGAATTCGCCATTGTTAGCAGCCATTTTCTCTCTCTTGGTTTGCTTTCTATGTAAATGTAAATGTTGCTCTTTCTGGTGTGGGAGAAGGGGGAAAAGAGGAGGTTATTTAAGGGATGGAAGACAGGAAGAGGAAGGGACGTACGTATGCTAGGGTGTGGTCCTAGGACTGTTACTGTAGGAGCTATATTTAAGCACGCTAATGTTGTGGGATGGGCCCGAGGTACCTCATTCATTACACCAGGATTAAGGGATGCCAATTAGCTTAGTTAATTGAAATATTTTTTCGAGCGCTTGGACAAGTGAATGCATTACTCTGTTTGATCATTTCAAATTAAGGCAATACTATGATAACTTTTAATTGGAGTACTTCCTCCGTATTTTATTACTTGCCTTATTTCTCCATGCATAGAGATTTAGGATAAATAGTATAAAGTAATAAAATACGAAGAAAGTGGGGTTGATGGAAGAATAAATTATAATACTTAAGAGAAGAGAAAATATGGAAGTGTTGAGGTATGATATTTTGTGGGTTCACTAGGAGGGAAGACATTAGTAAAATAAAGTAAAAGTTTTCAAAAAGGAAATGGAGTAAGTAATAAAATACGGCCGTAAAAGTAAATTGGAGCAAGTAATAAAATACGGAGGGAGTATTTCATTATGTAGTACTACGGTTGTTTCATATTAGTAACGCCCACAATAGTTTGACTTTTTATAGTCCCTCTGTATATTTGTAAGGCCATGTTTAGTTTACTTTATCTTTACATATTAGGAAATTCTACACTATAACCCTCTGGTATTAACTTTTCTAAGTTGTGCCCCCTTCTTTTGAAAGTTACACACTGGAAGCTTCAACTTACAATTATGTATCAATAGTGACCTTGCCGTTATCTTACCTGTAACGGTCACCGTTAGTGGGGCCCACTTTACACCTATTAAAATTTTTTCTCGATTTTGCGTGCTGAAAAATGTTCCGTTAAAGGATTTAGAAGTTTTTTTGATCCTTAAGGATCCAAATTGAGCAAACCACATCGCCGAATTCATCATACGCAGCGCGACTGCGTGCGTCAACCCATAATACGTTTTTCAGACGTCCCTGGTCATCCAACCTCCGAGCGTGGTAAAAGTGCTGGTTTTCGGCTTGCATTTGTTGAAAATACGACATCATCGCGACACAATCTCCACCAACCATTTTAAGACGTCTCGCCTTATAAACCTCGTGCTGCAGGTCCTTAACAGTCAGCGACATCTTTTCATGTCCATTAAACTCAGTTGCGATGCATCCATGAATTTGGGACACAGGAATTCCTTCGTCAAAGAAATTCGACAGCTTCTTCCTAACTCTTGAAGTGAAATGCTTCATGCGATTCTCTTTGACTAGCTTAGCCTTGCTCGGTGAGATCTTGTGGTTTGCATGTTCCAGCTCAACTTGCCTCAACACCCAATCGCCATCGCGATTTCTACCAGCATATACCTTAGCAGTGCACTCACATTTCTTTGACGTTCGTTCATTCGATTCAATTCATCCTCGCATACAATCCCATCTGCAACCCCGCCTGAACCTGATACATCCATTGCTTTGGCCCGTCTCTTAGCTTCCCTCTTGGCCTTCATGTTAGGTTTCCCCCAACACTCACACCTCCATGTCAAAGCTATTCGTTCCCTACCAGGCCTCTTTGAGAATACACCTTGAACTCTAGTTACTCCAAAACCTTGTTGTTCAGCGTACTCTTTGTAGTAGGACTCAACATCTTCCCATTTTTTAAAGACCATTCTAACCTTCGGTGGCTCAACAAAAGAAACAACGCTTATGTGGTTACTAGATACAACAGTTTGGACAGTTTGAATTATTTTGATAGGAGACAGGTAGTGTCCTTTATTAGCAGACGGAGTTTCTTGCCCCTCAACATAAGATATTATATCACGACGGATCTCTTCACATACTGGTTGATCATTTCCATCCTCGGTTCGTTTGAGAAATTAACACCAACAGAACTCCACATGTCAATAAAAAAAAAAATTTCACAACCATTACCATCCATGTCCATGTCTTCCTAATTAATCAGAGTACCTACCAAATAGTTCAACATAATCACATCATTAGAACTTCAACACGGCATGAAATCAGATTGATCAACAAGTATTTTTCCAAGGGGTTAAAACACAAAATTGATATTGCTCTTACAACCCCGACGGCAATTTCCAAGTTTAATTAATCCACAGACCCTACACATTATACTACCGTCAAACGCAAACAATTAATAATTATCTGAATATTAACATTAACAAAGGTAAAATGTTTTACATCAAATAACTAATACCCATATCAATCAAAATACATTGTACTGCGCAACTATGAAACACAATACTATACTTTAAAACTCTTTTATACTTTGAATGAAAATTAAGATTACGTACTTTATTTGGCCAAACAAACGACATTTTTTACTTGATTTGTTCCACAACGATCCGAAATCCATACTCAAATATATACTCTAATACGTATAAAGCTAAATTACATATACCTTCCTAATTACAATTTAGAATAGCAACATCACATTCGTTTTAATCACGTATTTGCGTAGTCAAGAAGAAGTCGTTGTCACTTAATATTGATGTCACTATATGTAAATAATACACCTTAAATGTAGATCACGTTAACAACTTGTCAAGTAAGATGATATCGTAATGTATACATATACTTATTACAATTAACATGAATAATACAGTAGGAGGTACTTACAAAGATTTGGATTAGTGATGGATCTCACATTTAGATGATTGATTGGTGTCAAGATTTGAGGAGAACTTTCAAGCGGACTTACTTAGTAATTCTTCAGCACCTGCCTTCAAACGAGACTACCCACCATTTTTTCAATTGATGATCTTAAGTTGAAGGGCAAGACTATCTAAGCTACATCACTTCCTCAACCACACACGTGGTATTTTTTCGGTTACTCACATTTAGTGCATGCGACGCCGGCAATTAACAATTATCAAACGGAGTTATATACAATCAGGTTGCAGTTAGATGACCAAGCATTCCAAGTAATGTAAGTGTACGGCAAATATATGATGTGGCAATAAATACTGTTCGCTTTAATTACCAAATGACCACTTGATAAACTAGGGTTGAATATCAAATACTTTCACTGTCTACGATTATCTGCACCAAACGTCCTTTTTGCGGAATCCTATGCAATATTTTTAGTAGAGTTTAATTAAGTTTGGATGGATTTAATTAAGTGGGAAAAAGGAGGGAAAAAAGTGGCCCTTATCTTTTTAATTTTGGGTGAGTTAAAGTGAGTGGGAAAAAGGTGGAAAATTAAAGACCCCTTTTATGAGTTGGAAAATGGTGGAGAATTGAGTGTAACTAAAAGAGGTTAAATAAACTTAAAAAATAAAAGTAAGAATAAGGTGGTTTTTTTACTCAACTGCTAAACATCGCCCGCAAATCTCCACATAAAGCCCACAAATTAAAAGTGAAATGACTCTTTTGCCCTCGAACTAAAATTATATTCTCTCGAACAAATGTGGTGGCTGGACGGCGGCGAATGGGCGGCGGCGTTTGGCCCAGACGCCGACACCACGGTTCCGGCGCCTGTCCCAGACGCCATTGCCACGGTACCGGCGTCCTGCCCAGGCGCCACCACCGTGGCTCTGGCGTCTGGGACAGGCGCCGGAACCCTAATTTTTTTTTTTTTTCATTTTCATTTATTTTTTTTTTGAATTATTTTTTCAAATTTTTTTTTTGCTTTTTTTTTGTTTTTGTTTTTCCGTTTTATTTTTTATTTTTTTTTTTACTTTGTTTTTTCCAATTTGTTTTTTTTGGGTAATTTTTTTTTTTGCTTTGTTTTTTCCAATTTTTTATTTATTGATTTATTAGGTTATTAATTTTTTTATTTTTAGGTTGTTAATATTTTGTAATGTTTTTAATTTATTTTCCATCATATGTATATTGTTTTATTTATTTATTTTAATTACTTTTTTTATGTTTATATTACATGTTTATATTGCATATTACATGTTTTGTTATTTTGTGTTAGGCATCGTATTTTCGTTCTGGGGCTGGGAAGAGTATGGACATTATGAGAAGTACGATCAACTCAATGGATTTTCCTAGTTGTTTGTAAAAGTTAACATTATCTATTCTTATAATTATTATTTTAAGTTCTTAGAATTTGACATTATATTTTTAGTTTTTATAATTTTTATTTTAAGTTGTAATTAGTGGGCATACGAAAATTAAATACAAGTTCACATTTAAATGGGAAAACTAAATACGAAAATTAGAATCCGAAAATTAAATAAATGGGAAAAACATAGCAATAACAATAGAAGGTCACATAGAAAAGGCAACTAGATTGTTCCACTGCTGCACCCGGTCATGATATAGCGCATCCCAGCCCTCTACGCTTGCTGTACGAATGGTGTACCACGTTGGTATGATCGGTGGGACCGGAAAATCGGGTGACAGGTCCAGTCGGATGAAATGTCTGTATGACGGCCCCAGAAATCCAATAGCAACCTCTCTTACCGGTCTGGTGACGGTCTCACGCGAACACCAAGGCAGAACCGTGGTACATGGATAGTAAGCTCCACCATGCAAACCAAGGCCGAAATGCATCACTGCACACTTGTAGATGTTTGCAACGGCGAAGAGATCAAGTGGCGCGTCGAACCAATGATTTTGACCGCAACGTCCTCCTCCCCACCGGATACGCTGCAGAGACCTATCCAAGTCCTGTCCGTACACGTGGCGATAAACAGCTCGGTTTGAGGCGATTTCACTGTACATCAACTGACGCACTAAACCGTAGTTGTCTTCACCCATCTGAAACACATCAGCCACAACCCGAAATCCGCAGTTACCATCTGCAACCACATCATTCCACCCGTCCAGGAACGGCATCATGATGTTAGGGATCCTGTCTTTATATGGAAAATGTTCAATGTCCATTCTACCTGTTGCACACATCAAAAAACACAATTAACAAGTCAGCAGAAAACTAAACAAACACTCTAAAAAGTAAATTAAACTAAAGTACCGTACCGGTGCCGGGCATATTCA